AGGCTGAGGAACGGACAGAGGTGGAGGCAGGGATCATAAATGCATCTTTCGCCTGGCCATGAGCGGTAGCAGAGGAACCATGGCCAGAGCTGTGGAGTTCCTCTGCCACTTGGCTGGGCGGGCTTGGGCAGGTTGACCAGCTGATGGAAAACCCAGTCAAGAGGAGGAGGTAAAGGCTACCTCTGTGTCATCTCAGGACAAAAGCCACTGAGCATGGTGGGGGGAAGAAGTCAGGAGCAGGGGGCCGGAGCAAAGCCTCTATTCCAGTCAGGTGTGTTGCAGACTGAATATCTGGGTCCCTCAAAGAATACATTGACTCCCTAACCTCAGGTGCGGCTCTGTTAGGAGACAGTGCCCAGAAGGGGTTCATTAAGGTCAAATGAGGTCACAGGGTGGGGCCCAAATCTGAATGGATTAAGGTCCTTACAAGAGACATCAGTGAACTCGCTCTCTCGGAAGTCAGAGGAAAGATGAGGAGCAGGCAGCCAACCATGATCTGGGATACCCAGCCTCCAGGCTTACAAGAAGAAACATTTCCACTGTTCAAGCCCCGCAGTCTGCGCTGCTCTGCCACGGCACGACGCTAAGGGAAGGGCAAGAGGCTGCTCAGGGGATGCTCATTCTCCCACTCTCGGGATATGGGAGGTAAACCCATCTATTGAAAATGAAAGGATGGGGTAAGGTCAGAAATCTCAGAAGACTCCAAGGGGAGCCTCGGGGAGCCAAGAGAGAGGGAAGTTGATGTCGGGCATGCGGTGATTCTGGAGAAGGCTGGAAAACTCGGGAATCCTGGCAGCACAACCAGCAGGAGATGACCCACCAGGGAGGTCCCTTCCCCAGATGCCCCTTGGACTCTCTCAGACATGGAATATTGAAGCTGAGTGGGCCCCAAGAGATCCCTGCTTTCTCATATCCTCATGAATACTTACATACTCTGTCATGTAAGCAAGTAGATAGAATCTGAGTGTTGTGGGTCTTACCTTGGGCTGCAGGCTGTTCCAGAGCCCGAGCAAAGATCAGTGGTGACCTCAGCTTGCTAAGGGCAGGGATGCAGGGGCCAAACCAGGGGCCACTCCGGGGGCAGAGCTCTAATCCTGGTTGTGGAGTCTGGGCTTTCAACAAGGGGTGCCAGGAAGAGATCTGTGCCCTCCAGTGCGAAGGGAGGGGATTTGGGGGACAGGAGGGGAGCTCTGCAGCAACTCCTAAAGGGGGAGCCAAAGTCTAAAGGACTCCCCTAAACAGCGTGGGAAGCATCTCTCCTGTTTGTTTGAATTTGTGGCCCCAGGCTCATCTCTGGCCACCCTCAACAAAGTGCTGCATGTAATTCTGTATTTGGTTTGTCTTTTATAAAGCGATTAGATTAAACTGTAGTTATTGTCATTTTGTGGTTTGGGAGAGATTTCATGACAGTGCCTTGGGAGCCAGAAACCAGAGCGGCCTCTCTTTGGAAGCAGATGCACGTGCTGGTTAAGAACAGATGGGTTTGGGTCCTTACACCATCATGTCCAGCTGGGTGACTTGACCAACGGTTTCACCTCTTTCTGACTCTCAGTTTCTTCACATGCACAGTGGGGATGATGACTGTTGGTGAGAGAAGTCACGTAATGCCAGGCACAGCTTAGCAGAGTATCTGGTGTGAAGGAGGCACTCAGCGAGGGAAGCCTTCACCATCATCATCATCATCATGGTCATCAGTCACATGAATTTTAGGAATAGCAAAAACTCAAAAAGGAAATCCACAATACTACCTCGGAATATTGTTCAGGGATACAAAGCTCCCCGTGACTTTTCTCTAACAGGCATCAGTAGTCAGATCCTCTGGTGACCTTGCAGGCCTTCCTAAAATTCTGCTCACCCAGCTTGTCAACCTCTGGGTCCAGATGCAGTCCAGAAAGGGGTGGGGACCACCACATGCCAGAGCCCCTCCTCAGAGTTTTTGTGTTTCTGAGCCATCAACCGAGAAGAAATGAAGAGGGACACGGGGGAGTGGGAAGGGAGAGTGGAGAAGCCAAAGGAACCCACGCCCTACAGAGGTCTCATCCGGAGGTGGGTTTTCACTGGTACACCTGCTTCTGTCTCCAGCTCAGATTCCCTGCCACCAACCCCACTACCCTGAATCCAACATCCAGTGTTACCTATACGAAACTTGTTCACACATTTCCCCTGAGACATAATAACTTTTAAGGCAGTAGTTCTCAACCAGGGCAGTTTTGCTCCCAGAGGACAGTTGGCAATGTCTGGAGACACTTTCTGTTGGCACAACTTGGAGAGAAGATACAATGCACTGGACACCCCCACCCCCTGCTCCCCTCTCTCTAACCACTATCTCCACCCTCTCGCCTCCCATGCCAGGGGAGGGCCTGGCTCTTGTCCCAGCATCCCTTGTGGAAAGCTCAGATTTAATATCCAGAATTACAGTGTCAAAGTTAAGAAACCCTGCTTGAAGGAAAAAGTAGCCCCTTGTGCCCCACTTAATTCACTCAGGTTCTCAGGTGGGCAGTTGGCCAGACGCCCTGGATTTAAAAGCCCACCCCGAGAGACTGCACCTTTGCCTCGCACGTTTATGTACAATTTTGTAAGCAATGATTGCTTGTAAGATGTCATTCTTCACTACCTGTTGTTATATGACAGTGTCCCAGCTGAGGGCAGCCACTATGGATAGCACCATCACTTCATCCATTCATTCAGCCCACACACACATCATTGACTCTTTCTTCTGATATGACAGGTTCTAAGGATAAAGGATGAGTGCGACCAAGTCTCAAGGTTCAAGCTCTAAGTGAACATATTGGGGAAGACGGGAAGGACAGGTGCCCTGGGAAATAATGACAATACTGTTCCAGGTAAAAATCCTCATGAGAGACGTGGGTGGGGACAGGAAGGGGAGGTGAGGCCAGAGTCTCTCATGGGGGTCTCAAAAACCTGCCCCACCAGCCATCAGCACTTTTTGGTCCACTTTCAAGGGACCCTCCCTATATCTCTCTGTATGGAAAGATGGGGAGTTGGGGAGAGTAGTAATAAGCAATTTGGCCTTAGTGATCCCCCACCACCACCAATTAGGAAGATGCCTGTGATTTCCCTCAAGAGGAAGCACAGAATGAATACGGAATTGTTTGAACGCCCGTCAGTTTCAAGATCAAAAGTCTGACCACTCAAATAGAAAAAAAGCAGGGTTCCATAGGCTGGGAAATCCTCCAACCGAAGCAGGGCAATTCCATCCCTATTTGTTGAAGGAGTTCTCTGCCAAGAAGTGTGAACCTCAGATCTGGATAAGCCCATAAAATCACCAGAGAGCCAAGACTTACACACAGGAAACCACCTGGCAGGAACATAAAGTGATCCGTGAGTAGATGAAGATGAGAGCAAAGACAAGCGACAACCCGGACAGAGCCCTGGGCAGTTGAGAATGGCGAGATCTGGGCTCTAGTCCCAGAGCTCCCACAAACTTACTGATAAGGAGCAGGTCCCTGCCCTCTGTGGGTACCAGTTTGCTCCCCTGTAAAAGGAGGAAAGTGGACCAGGGCATAATAAAGCATCCTTCCGAGGCACACGGAAGACCTGAACCAAGGGAAGGTTCTCATTTTCCCCTGGGTTTAGTCTTAAGATGACGCTGGAGGTTAAAATGTACTTTGAACCTTAGTCCTGAAGACCCAGCCACTTGGTGATTTCTTCTGATAACCGCAGTGTTACTGCAGATACTTAAAAAGGAGGCTGGCGGAGGGTGGGGTGGAGGTGGGGGGCGAGGTCACCAAGGGGGCTGCCTCCCAGCTCTGGGCACCAAATAACAACACACTTGGAGGCTGAATTTGGTTTTGAACTGTCCCCATGTCTCAGGTGGCATTTCCCCAAAGTGGGAGCTCAGACTTGCCAGCAGGTGCTATTGTCCTAGCACCTTCCAACTGCAGCGCTGAGGACAGGAGGCTCCAAGTTATTAACACCAGTGAGCTGCACAGGAGAGCCGCAAAGCCCACCCTGGATACTATAGGAGCTGTGCCTCCTGGTGTCAACACTCCCACCAGCTCCGGAAGCAGGTCTTTCCTACAGCCAACCAGGAGAGGACCAATGGAGGGCCACTGACAGGTTTGCAGGAAGGGTTTGCCCAGGACAGAGACTTCAGGCTCAGAATTGAGTTCCCAAGGGCTTTCCCTGGGGAGTTTCTTGGGACTGAGGCTGTGGGGTCCTGTTTGGAATGCTGGTGGAAAGGGGAAGTTCTGGAATCTGTGCGCCCCTTCCTCACCGCTCCTTCTCCCCACTGGGCGCAGCCGCCCTCTTTCACAAACCCCACAGGCAGAGGCCAGGACTCCCCGGAGTTTCTGAGAAAGCAACATAAGCCACTCACTCTGCTGCCTTCCCTTTTCTCTGCCAGTTCCTCCCCGGACCTGGTTTGGGGAGACCAGCTGCTCCCAGAAGTCCTCAGACCCACCGACATTGCGGAGCCAAACCCACAAGACCAACGAGGAAGCTGCAAACGCCGCATTACAGCCCCGGCAGTTACAGCCAAAGCTTTCGGAGGTCTCCCCATCCGCAGCCGCTGTCCGCGCAAATGGCAAGGCTCTGGGGCAGACAGTTTGGGTTCCAGCTATCTATTCTCGGGGCAAGGTTTTTGGTCTTTCCAAGTCTCGCTTTCCTTGTCCGCAAAGTGAGGGTGAAAATAGCAACTTCGAAAGTCGAAGATGAGGTTTCAAGGCAATACTGCAGGCAAAGTGCCCGCACACAAAAGCCACGGCCAGGAGCGGCTCCCGAATTTCCGCCGAGGAGCGCCCGGGTTGGGTGAAGGGCAAGGCGGGTTATCTCAGCGCTGCCTGCGCCCGGGCACATACAGATTTTATTTCGGAGGAGAGGACCCTCCGGAGAGGAGAGGACCCTCCGGAGAGGAGCAGACAAAAATCATAGTTGTGGGGAAAGGACGGGGAGAACGACTCCCACTGCCCAGCAGAAGATCTGGGGGGCCCCCTCCACCCCTCACCCCCAGGGGGACCCGCAGAAGGGCGCGTACTCACCGCGTGCGCGGCGTAGGCTAGCAGCAGCAGCAGCCCGGGCAGTGACGGCAGGCGGGGGCGCATGGTGCCGCGTGCGCTCCCCTGGCGCCCCGACGGCCGCCTGCCCGCGCGCACCGCCGCTCAGGACTCAGAGCTCCCTGCCGCCTCTCGGACCCCGGCTGGCCGCCGCGCCCAGGGGAGCCATGGCCCCACCCGCGGCGGGCCCGGGACTGCGCCTCCTCTGACCGCGTGGCCCCGCACCACGCCGCCCCGCCGGTTGATAAGGACGCGGCGCGGCGTGCGCTCCTCCACCCAGCCCGGCAGGCTGGCCGGCTGGCGGGGGCCAGTGCGGAGGCCGGCTGCGGAGGAGGTGGAGGGAGGACGCGAGACCTAGAGCGGCTGCCGCAGGCGAGGCTCGGCAGGCCCCACTGCCACACCCCCGCGGACTCAAACAGCCCTCCCCAAGGTCCGGGTCAGCGCAGCCACCGCTGCGCTGCGTGAGGATGGGCAGGAGGCCACCTTTTGGAACCTCAGCGTTCTCATCCGAACAGTACATCTAATAATGCCCACCTTCTGGGTGAAAAGTTTGTACTAGTGCCCTATGACACAGCCGGTGCTCTCTAAATCCCTATGGCACTATTCTGGGGGGCATCTGCTCCATTTCCGATTCTCACTTTTTTTTTTTTCTTTCTTAGTAGATATTTACGCTCCTTCCAGAAAGTTGCACACACATGAGCTCCATCACGCTGAGAAGCCTTTGATGATCAGGTGAGACCAAGGAGGACCATCGGTGCACCCCAGCGTTTAGGGCTGTGCCGGAGCTCTTCTGCTTTCTGGTTCCCGGGGAGCTATTTCAGTATTAGGCAGGTGTGCCCAGGAGCTGCCCATCCTGAGTCTGAGGGCTCAGATCTCCCTGTTTAGTCGCTCAACAGCTTGCGACGCCATGGACGGTAGCCCATCTGGCTCCTCAGTTCATGGGATTCTCCAAGCAGGAATACTGGCAAGGGTTGCCATTTCCTTCTTCATCGGATCTCCTGAAGGTTGGCTTTTGGCCTCTCAGGACAGTGCAAGGCACCCTCAGAGGGTTTTGTGGACCGTTTTTTCCTTTTTCTGCTCTGGTCCCCTTTCCTTTCGTGTCTCCTTCTGTCTGGATCTTTTTCTCAGGCACTTGAAGTCCATCAGTTCATTGATGTCACCTCTCCCTCACCCTCTTCCCCACACATGCAAGTGAAGTGAGTGCTACCTGACTGCTGTCTTTGTTCCCCACACATGCAAGTGAAGTGAGCGCTACCTGACTGCTGTCTTTGGCATAAGGACTGGCATGAGATTCTGTGCATGTGTGCACGTGCACACACACAAACACATACTCACCCTTTCCTTTCATAGCGTTCCCACCAGAGAGCCTGTAACTGGATTGCCCCGGCCCGGGCTGTCGTTGGAAATCAAGGTTCTGACTGCCTTGATCAAGCGTGGTCAGTGGCAGGAGGTGGTTTCTCCCCTCTGGTCCACAAATATAAACCACATTCTCTGAGACCATTATCACCGACAGAAGTGATATTGGGTCCCACAGTCTTCCTCATATTTCTCAATCGGTTCAAGATTCAGGCTGGAAAAATGTTATGAGCTAGTTTCTCTGACATCCTAAATGTGCATTAGAAAAAGTGCATGCAGTAAGGATATGCCATTTTTACTATATAGACTTTCGTGTTGCATGAATAGTTTCTGTAATGACTGGATGTATTGCCTTTTTGATGGAAAGACAAAAAAAGAAAATAATGCAAAATGCAATCTGCGTTCTATACCAGAGCCTTGTGATCACCAGTGAAAAAAGCAAAATGACATTTGTCCGGGCAATTCAATCAATTTCTGGCCTGTGGAAAGCCATTGTTCCTTAAGTAGGAGGCTCTCTCTCTCTCAGAGTATTGAGAAAAGGATCTGAAATGCTCTGTTGGGAAGTCATGGATGCTGTCAGTGGCTTTGTAGAACCTGCCTGAGAACACAATTTCAGAGGGTGAAAGGAAGCATGTGGGGAACTAACCATGTATTTAATACCCACCATGTGCTGGGGAGTTTTTAAATAATTGGGTGTATCATCATAGTTAATCCTCCAAGACTGTCTGAGAGACACTGACTTTCCTTGATGAATCAGATGGGAACTTGAGGCTTGGGGAAGGTAACCATTTGTCTCCACAACGCAGCCAACAAGGGCTGGGCCTGGATTGAACCCAGGACTGAGTCCAAAGCCCAGGCCCATGTCCTTTGCATGGCACTAGAACGTCTCTCAATCCTGAAGATGACTTTCTTACTCTCAGTGTTTCCAAAGCTCTTTTCCATGCAGCATTTCATTTGATCCTTGAAACAGCTCCATGGGGTCTGTAGGACCAGCGATCAGGGGCTGCAGGAGAGGGAGATTCCATTGCTCACATGGTTTCATTGACAGTTTAATGAGAAGGTGCCATGCAGAGGTGTGGGTGGGGCTCAGCGAACCAGCAGGGGACATGCGGGTGCCTGGGGCAGCAGCAGTAGGCCTGGTCAGACTCCTCTGCGCCTCTTCTGCTTTGACCTTGGCCCCATCTGTCTTTGGCCTGCCTCAGCAAGACTCCTGCCATGGGTTAGTGAGAATCTTCCCCCTTGATATCCCGTCAGGTTCCTTGTCTCCCACCGTTGATGTCTAATCCAGTCCTGTCTTCAGCAAGAGGGGTGTTAAGTCAGCTTAGCAGAAATCTCCCTGTCTTGTTGTCTCCTCTTAGTCATCATCCATCCACGGCCACCCTCATCCTGCTCCATAGCTACGAATCCCCTTTATTTCTTGTTATATTCTGAGTTGAGCCCTGGTTCTCTCCTCTATTGCAACACCCCTATTGTAACAGTCTTGAATGAAGGTTTCTTTACCATTTTAATAAGTGTCAGGATAATTTTCCTTTAACAAGGAACAAAGAGAGAAAGCAGTGTCTCCTGAAGCAGGCAAGAGTTATCCTTGGGAGTGGAGCCACCCACAGGATCTTAACCAGAGGGGAATGCAGCCTCTGTCAAAACCGTGGTCTGGGACTTCCCTGGTGGTCTAGTGGTTAAGACCCTGTGTTTCCACTGCAGGGGGTGCAGGTTCCATCCCTGGTTTAGGAACCAAGATCCCACATGCTGCATAGCACAACCAAAAACAGACAAATGGAAAAACTGTCAGGTGTTGGGATAAATACCCTGACCTTTCTTCTGCCCTCTGAGTCTCCTGGCTATGTCTTCCATTGTCTGAACCCAACCCAAAGCCAGAGACAAGACAGACAGATTGGGGAGAAACTGTCCATAGCATTTCTCTATGTCCATAGAGTTTACCCTCCCTCCTGGGTGGAGAAGGCAGAAAAGAGATTTGAGAGGGATGAGGCAAAAGGAGAATAACCCCACTAGGATATATCATTCTACCCATTTAACAGATGAAGAAACCTGAACAGATGAAGATGGGTGGGGCCTGAAATGCAGATCACACAGGACTGTTTGCACTGAAACTCTGGTCTCTTGATTCCCAGCCTGAGTTCTCCATCACGCTTATGTCCGTTACACCTGAAACTGGTGATGGAAAATCAGAGCAATGATTTACTATCACTTCACAGTCCTGGGGGCTGGCTGGGCTTGGCCGACAGTTCCCTGGTTTAGCACATCTCACGTGGTGGCAGTCAGACAGAGTCACCCGGAGACATGCTTGCTTGGATGACTGGGGCTGGGCTTGCTCCACGTGGCCCCAGCTCCAGGCAGCTTCGGGGTGCCTGGGCTTCTTAAACTGTGATCCCAAAGGTGTTTGTCCTAAGAGAGAGCAGGTGGAAGGTGTGCCATGATTTATGACCCAGCCTCAAGGGCATGCAGTTCTGCTTCTACTGCTTTCTGTTGTCCAGATAATCATAAAAGCCAGTCCTGGTTTTAGGGGAGGCGACATAGACTCTGCCTCTTGAGGGAGAGTAGGAAGATCATGGAGCAGCACGTGAGACCCCTAGGACTAGCAGTGCTAGTACTGATACCAGCACTGTTAGCGGGGCTGTGGGGAAAGACTTTATGTCCACCCTCTAACTTCACTATAACTCCCAGGAGCAACAGAAAGGGGTGTCTCTTGGACTTGGATGCTTTTCCAGGTCTTGAGCCTCGTTCTTTTCTCCAAGTTACACTGGAGAGGTAGGTGTAGTGGGGCATAGGGAACTAAGTCATGACTACCCCGAACACTCTAAGTCATGTTCTCACAACAGTAACTTAAAAGTTACCCTGAAATTTTAATTCAAAAAGATAATGCACCCTAATGCTCACAGCAACACACAGTCACAATAGCTAAGATGTGAGAGCATCCTAAATGTCCGTCGACAAAGGATTGGATAAAGAAGGTATGGTATATATACACAATGGAATATTACTCAACCATAAAAAGAATGAAATAATGCCATTTGCAGAAACATGGATGAACCTAGAGATTATCATGACAAGTGAAATAAGTCAAACAGAGAAAGACAAATATCATATGATATCACTATATGTGGAATCTAACAAAATGAAACAAATGAACTTATTTACAAAACAGAAACAAGACTCACAGACACAGAGATCAAATTTAAGATTACTAAAAGGCAAGAGGGGTGGTGGAGGATAAATTAGGAGTTTGGGGTTAGCAAATACAAACTACTATATATATATACATATATATGTTTATATATATGCAACTGAATCTCCTTGTATACACTTGCAACTGTTTAATAACACAACATTGTAAATCAACTATCAGTTCAGTTCAGTCGCTCAGTCATGTCTAACTCTTTGCGACCCCATGGACTGCAGCATGCCAGGCTTCCCTGTCCATCACCAACTCCCAGAGCTTGCTCAAGCTCATGTCCATCAAGCTGGTGATGCCATCCAACCATCTCATCCTCTGTCGTCCCCTTCTCCTCCTGCCTTCAATCTTTCCCAGCATCAGGGTCTTTCCAAAAGAGTCAGTTCTTCACATCAAGTGGCCAAAGTATTGAAGCTTCAGCTTCAGCATCAGTCCTTCCAATGAATATTCAGGACTATACTTCAATAAAAAATTTTAAGTTACCCTGAGGATGGGAGATCAT